TGTCTTTTCTCAGGTTAGGAGTTTCACTCCTGGGAAATTTCAAAAAGTCTAAAATAATTTCCTCCACAACGTGACCCCTAGTCAATAGAGACTGTGGTTCTCTTTCAGGGACCCTGGGACTGGCCAGGGGGCCTTTAGGGCTAACTCCCAAGCCCGGCCATGGATAGTTGATAAACACAGCTCCTGCAGGCCGCCCTATGAGCACCTGGCCCTGCCCTTGAAACTGTGGAATGAGGTGGGGGACACAGAGGGGCTGGGGCTGGGGCTCAGCAGCAGAGCACTTGCCTAGCACACGTGAGGGCCTCCTAACAGGGGGCCCACATGCAACTAAGGACTCTCGGCTGGGCATCCTCTGGAGATACCCCCAGGGAGGAGGGCGTGGTGATAAGCAGAGGGCAAGAGGGGGGTCTGGAATCCCAGCTCAGCTGTGAACTTGGGTTTTCCTGGAGCCTCTCTGACCATGGCTGCCGTCACCCACACTGCCTATCCCTCTGCCTCCCTTGCACGGTGGTCTATGTCACACACACCCCAGCCTCAGGCTTCCAGAGGGGATCACTTAACTCACAGGTAGCAAACTCAGAGTGCGTGATTGTCATAGATAATCACTAATATCCACCGGGAGCCTCTCTGCCATGTGAAATGAGGATCCTGCCGGATGCTCACAGCAACACGTGAGGTCAGTCCTGGCCTCACCCCCACTCCATGTGAGAAGCCGGAGGCTGAGGAGGGCTGACCCCTTGCCAAGGTCTCCATGGTGATTCAGCGCCGAGAAGGGGATCTGCGGGGGGAACGCCCAGCTCAGAGCTGTGTGGTATGGCCTCAGCCTGACCTCTACATTCATCTCCAAGGACAGAGCCCCTGTGTGCTGGCCTTCTCCATATTCACATCAAACTACAGAAGAACAAGAAAATAGTGCCTAATTCTCCAACTGGAAATAATAATCGACAGCTTGATATGCACCTATTTCTGGATTTTATATGGATGAGTGGATATACACTTTTACTCCTCAAAATGGTGCTGTATTTATATCACTCATTATTCTTGTACAGTCTATTTTTCATGGCTGCATAATATTACACCATTTGGATAATGCACAATTTATTTAACCAATCTGCTCTTGTTGGACGTTTAGGTTACTTATAGTATGTCATGGTGATGAACAAGGCCATGTTGGACATCCCTCAGTCAATTCTTTGCACTAAGTCTTTAAGATGAGCTTTGGGAGGCGGGACCACTGGGCACAGGCTTTGGGGGATGTACTGGTGTGTGCCAATGGGAATGAGTGCTCTTTGAAAATTCATATACCCATGCATAGCAAGCCAGGCCTCCTGGCAGAGACTCTAAACAAAAACTGCCCCTCTTGCATTACTCTTCTCTGAGAGTGCAAAGTTTGCCTTAAACCTCATCTGCACCAGGACCCTCCAGGGAGGACCCTTCCTTCGGTGTTCATGGTGGGACAGGAACCCCCCCACCCCAACACACACCCAGTTACTTGGAACCCATCCTGAGGGCACCCAGACACGACAAACAAAAATCACCCAGAGGTACTCACTCTGCCATGTGTCCTGACACAGGTGCCCAGGAGAGCAGAGAGGGGCAAATTCCTTGGGAAGCACCCCTCCCACCTCAAAGAAATACAGAATCTGGAGGAAGTGGGCCGAAGATGAGTGGGAAGCGGGAAGCAGAGGCCGGAAAGCAGGAGGGAGGGAGTGGTAGCCCGGGAGGCTGGCTCCAACTTCCCCCAACCTTCTGATCACAGAGCCACGTTTCAGCTGTTACTGGAAGCGCCTCAGGGCACAGCTACCCACCCTCAGAGAAGGGAGACCATCACCCACTCCTCACGCTGAGGGCCTGCTGGGGGAGGGAAGGGAGGCTGGGACAAGCTCAGGTGGCTAACAGAGCCCAGAGGGGAGAGGAGCTGGCCCTGGCTGAGCAGCAGGGCAGCCACCCAGGGTTGTGGCTCCTGCTTCTGGGGCCCGAGGGAGACAGGGCAAGGCATGGTCAGTCAGGCACCCTCCATGCCAGGGGCCTCTGTGCAGCATCTTGAAAGAACTGCAGATCAGAGGGTCAGACGTGGAGCTGGGGAGCC